ATTCAACTTAAGAACAAACCTACAGTCAGTCCCTATCTTGTACGTAACCCGGGGACTGCCTGTATTAATCTGTTTGGGCTCTGTGAATAAAAGCTCAACGATCCATGTGAAACGCAGGATCAGATTCCCCAAACGGTTTGATATTAGAATGCATGTATATTGGGGATAGAATACATCATGCAGAAGTGCCATTCCGTTAGCTCAGAGAGTTTAGTTGGCTTAAGTTTGGAGTGATCATGGGGCTAGGTAGCCATAGGAATAATGCAGGTTTGTCCATATCACCAACTGTCTGTACTCAACCCGGGAATACAATTACAAGGGTGTTACTGATGCAGACTGGTATGCTTCAGTTTCAGAAATAGGTGGGTTTTGATTGCCTGACATAACCTGTTGTAGACACTGTAGTGGTGTGTGCTGAACTCACTCTTTGAGGTATTATACCTTTGCAGGATGGCTGAATACAGCCAGGGTGCACATCAGACTATACACTTTCCCAGTCTATACCTGGGAAAAAGCTACCTGACTCCTAACAGGAGATTCTCATCTCCGCCATAGACTGTGGGTGGCCCAGAATCCTGGGTCACATTCTAGGTAAGATGGCTGTCTGCTTTTGTATCTATATTAGAAAAACAAAGAGTAGTTCAAGAAACATGCCAGATACACAAGGCAGGCCTGAGGTATGGGCGAGCCGGGCAGCTGCCCATGGCGCCAACATATGGAGGGATCCTGATGGCAGCTGTAAGAGGTGTGCGGCGTTCCATATAGCTGCTATCAGGCGCCGCGCGCCCAGCTCCTGCAGCGCCGGCCCCATGGCGCTGGCCAGCAGCGCCCTTCCCCCCATAGCCATGGGGCTCTGCATGGCCTGGCGCGCACGCCAGCAGCGATGGCCGGGCCGGGCTGGGCAGCACATGCGCCGTGCGCACTGGGAGCGGTGCTGTGCGCCCAGGCCCGGGACGCCAAAAGGGCTCAGGCCGGTCCTGCAGATACAGTCTTAGCTACATACATTCAGAGATCTCCATTTTCCAAAAGGAAAAAGACTAGCCTATGTTTTCTTCCTTCAAGCCATGTTGGCTTATTAGTAGTAGTTCATTCCAAACTGCCTTTAAGCTTAGAAAATCTGTGCTTTATCCAACCACCCATACTACCCCCCGCTCCGCAAAAAACCCCAAACACTATGGCTACGTCTACACTGGCCCCTTTTCCGGAAGGGGCATGTAAATTTCACTAGTCGTCGTAGGGAAATCCGCGGGGGATTTAAATATCCCCCGAGGCATTTAAATAAAAATGTCCGCCGCTTTTTTCCGGCTTTTAAAAAAGCCGGAAAAGAGCGTCTAGACTGGCCCCGATCCTCCGGAAAAAGTGCCCTTTTCCGGAGGCTCTTATTCCTACTTTGAAGTAGGAGCATAAAACTGAACTTTGTCTCCTCCCAAATTCTTCATTTTCTCTTTCCACATACACACACTGGACCAGAGCCTGTTGACTCCAGTGAGTAAGGACTCACTCATATGATCAACGACTACAGAATTGTTCAATTGTTGGTTACTGTAGGGTTGCTCCTAATTACTGAGTAGCTACACTGATTGGGGAGAGTCTGGTCTATTGAGTTCTGCTACTCTTTTTCCATAGCACCAAACACACACCGAAATGTTTAAAAAATGTAAAGCATTTCGTTCTGAGAACATACACAGACACTTGCTTAAATTATCGTAACAATTTTGCAAGTTAATATTTTTTAAAAAGATAACCTTTTGGCGGTGACTCAGCTGGTCAGTTTCTCTTTATTATCAAAAAAGTATAGCACTTTTAGGCCATGGATTTATTTATTTATTTATCTCACTGGAACAAAAAACAGTAAGTTTGATACTCACAGTGGGAAGGGACACTTAGTGCATGTGGATTGCTATGATCTCTCTCAGTTTTATAAATGTTTTTATCCTAATCTGTTTATATTACCCTTGTGTATTTCAACTGCACGTGCAGACACACCGGACAGGCAATGTGCCTTGCACTCCTCATAGTAGGTACAGGATGCCTGATGACTTTCATAGGGCATGTCTACACTACAAAGTTAGTTTGAACTAACGGACGTTAGTTCGAACTAACTTTCATAGGCGCTACACTAGCGCTCCGTTAGTTCGATTTAAATTCGAACTAACGGAGCGCTTAGTTCGAACTAGGAAAACCTCATTTTACGAGGATTAAGCCTAGTTCGAATTAGCTAGTTCGAATTAAGGGGTGTGTAGCCCCTTAATTTGAACTAGTGGGAGGCTAGCCCTCCCCAGGTTTCCCTGGTGGCCACTCTGGCCGACACCAGGGAAACTCTTCTGCCCCCCTCCCGCCCCTGGACCCCTTAAAGGGGCACGGGCTGGCTACGGTGCCCGTGCCAGGTGCAAGCCTGCCAGCACCCAGCCAGCAGACCCTGCACCTGGCACGGATCGAGCCACCCACCTGATGCCCCCCAGCCCTCCCCCCCTTCCCGGGACCAGGCTGGCGGCTCCCAGGAGCTTGCCCGGGAGCGCAAGAGGCGGGCACCCGCCTGGGCTAGTGCAGTCATTGTGGACCTTGTCCACGATCTCCGCACTAGCCACAGGAAAGTGGCCGTCTAGGGCAGGAGAGGTGCCAGCCTGGCCACCCAGGAGCAGGTGTGCAAGAGAATCAAGGGTGTCCAGTGAGACCTCCGACCCTGAGCCCTGATCTTACAGTGGCCGTATTGGGTCAGACCAGAGGTCCATCTAGCCCAGTAGCCTGTCTGCTGAGAGCGGCCAACACTAGGGACCCTGGAGGGGATAGACCGAAGACAGTGACCAAGCCATTTGTCTCGTGCCATCCCTCTCCAGCCTTCCACAAACATTGAGCACGGACACAACTCCTACCCCCTGGCTAATACCTCTCCATGGACCCAGCCTCCATGACTTGATCTCACTTCCCTTTAAACTCTGTTCTAGTTGTAGCCTTCATAGCCTCCTGCAGCAAGGAGTTCCACAGGTTGACTCTTTGCTTTGTGAAGAACAACTTTCTGTTACTAGTTTGAAGCCTGCTACCCATTCCTTTCCTTTGGTGTCCTCTAGTCCTTCTTTATGGGAACTAATGAAGAGCTTTTCTGTATGCACCCTCTCCCCCCCACTCATGCTTTTAGAGACCTCTATCCTGTCCCCCCTCCGTCTCCTCTTCTCTAAGCTGAAAAGTCCCAGTCTCTTTAGCCTCTCTTCATATGGGACCTGTTCCCAACCCCTGATCATTTTAGTTGCCCTCCCCTCCCCCAGCCTCTCTCTTCCCCTCTTCCACCTCCTTTTCCCAGTCTCCCCCAGTTTTGTTCAATAAAGACAGATTCCATTTTGGAAGACAAGTTATCTTTATTTTGTACATCAAGAAGAGGGGCTAGGGAAGGGTAAGTGGAAGGAGGGGAGGGAGGAATGGGGCAAGAGCCCTCGATGGGGAGGACTGGGCTGGCTCTGCGGGCTTCTGGGGGTGGAAGCTCTCCTGCAGCCCCCCAATTGCTCCCTCTCCCCAGATGGCAGCCTGTGGCAAGTGCAGCCTGGCTGATGGCTGAGTGGTGTGATGTGCCCAGTGTGGGTAGTCCGGGCAATCCAAGCCAGGACTGCTTTGCAAGCGGGGCACCCCTGAGAACTGTCTGTCCGGGGGGGGGGCCAGGACCCTTTAAGCACAGCCCTCGGCTAGCCTGAGAAAGCATCTCCATGCTCTAAGTTCTTCTCTGATGCCCTGCCGGCACTGCTTCCGGCCATCCTTAAGCCCGGTTCAGGGTCCACTTAATGTGGACATGCTAGTTCGAATTAGCTTAGTTTGAATTAACTAATTCGAACTAAGTTAGTTCGAATTAACGTTGTAGTGTAGACATACCCATAGTTAGGCAAAAACCAAAGCTCTGTGGCATTCTTTCACTGAACAAATTAGTTTATGGGCAACGTCCTACAGTTCCATCACAGCCAAACTTTTCACTGACGATAGTGAAAAATGTTGCATGATGAGTTCAGAATTTGGCCCACTGATTTCAGCAAAGTTTTGCCTAAGTAAGAAAATAGTAAAAACTGAATTAGGACTTCAGGATTTTGTCCTTTATTGCAAGTGTAAAGTGAGCTATAACCTGCTCATATTAGAAAAAGTTAATAATATGCCGCTTGGAGTCTGTACATTGCCAGAGTAAGAAAGGCAGCAGTTTTATTTCAATATTTGTCCTCACCCATTGACAATGACAAAAGAAAGAAGTTAGTAAAAACTTGTTCATGTGATGCTCATGTTTTTTTACCTACCAAATAGGAATCTGTGTTTATTTTCTAACTTGAATAACCAAATGAAGTTTTCCCAATCTCCTTGGTCAACTAAACAAGGCCATACTTGAGATGACACTGACTACCCCTGGCATTCATTAGTAATGTTTGCATGCATCTAAGCCAAGATTAATGAAAAGGGTAACAAAAATTGTAACAAATCCAGGCTCTGCACTGCAATCCAAACTCCTCAATGTGCTAATTTGACACCCACTGTTGTCTCTAATCCCCATAATGATAGTCATGGTAACAGGCTGAAAAGAAAACACTGATGTACTGTGGCTTTTTGAATGTCAGACATTATAGGTGATAATGACATATAAGTACGCAATGGCTTCAAGGTTGATTTGATAGAACTTCCACTAGCAGTCTGGCTTCCATCTCCATGGAATATAATAATAGCAAATAACTTCAACACTTACAACATACTTATATGATCATTAGCTTCCAAAAAGAGGTTGGTCAAGATGCATGTGGCTAGAGGGATCCTACAGACATCAGACAGACCTGGAACTTAATCTTGAAAACCCTTAACTCATGGATAATTATGAGTTAGGCAAGTACATATTCAGAGACTTGGAACTTTATAGTGCAATCAGTCCAATCATTACCATAAAGAGTGTCTTTATATGCGCAGAGCTCAATAAGACTCCTGACTAACTATTTTGTTGCATCTTTGTTTTGTTTACACCCCCCCCCCCTTCCTTCCTTAAGGCACAACGTACTGAGTTTGTCTGGGGGAATTGAAGAGATCGGTATCGTCAAGTGGGATCTGGCACTGTGTCTTCTCTTTGTCTGGGTGATATGTTTCTTCTGCATTTGGAAAGGCGTCAAGTCTACTGGGAAAGTAAGTGTCTGTCTGCCCTTTATGGTCACCACCTTAAAAAGTCAGGAGTATAATGAATAATAAGCAGTGTCTTGCCTTCATAAATAATGAGTGGTCCTGTGGCACCTTAGGATGTGTCTACACAGCACCCTTACCTCGGAATAAGCTACGCAATTTGTGCTATGTAAATTGCGTAGCTTATTTCAAAGTTACTTTAAAATAAAGCACTACTTCAACAAATCCCTTAACCCTTGGGCTATGTCTAGACTGGCAAGTTTTTCCCTGTTTATTTCATCATTTCTAGTGTGCTTCTCACTGCATTCCTTTCTGAAGTTTTCTATTAGGCCTATTGAGCTCAGGGCTAAGTTCACAAAACATTGATTTGTACCCTCTATGTTTTAGATGCCTGCTGAAGGCCACAGTTGTTAAACATTCATAGACTCCACACCCTTGGGTGCACCAAGGTTTTTGTTAAAGGGGACGTCTTTCCCATCAAACTCTCCAAAATCACGCCATTCCATATGGTAATAATTAGACAGCACAGGAACCTCATTCTATTCCAGTAGTATGCAAGGAACAAAGTACACAAGAATACACTCTGTTGATTAATGAGATGATGTGTGGTATTTATTGCCTCTTTAAGTACAGAATAGTGGTTTTATAGCATCATATATTTCTCCCTTTGACTGTATCATGGGGGAGGGTCTAAATAAAAATACGATGACTTATTTTTCTGGTGTCCTGCCAGTTTTAGACTCAAAGAGCAGTTTCCACATCTCTAAATCTATTCTAACCGAAGGTGGTAGTATTCCCTATTCTCACTGGCATGATCTGTTGAGTTGGCTTGTCAAGGGCAATAATTAAAGAGTGCATAGTAACCTCCCCAGCAATAGCAGAATGGAAACAAATACTTCCTGAGTTTCTTTTGTAATTCTGTGAGGTCTGTTTGATTCATACCAAGGTTAAGATAGCACAAAAAGAGTTTCAAAGCTGATTATTATGTACAAAAGGCAAATCCCTGATATAGTGCACCAGTATAAATCAGTGAGGGCATATGCTTGTCTGAGAAAGTGAAAGGGTTGCAGAGACTTGAAAAATTTAGAGGTTTGCAGGGAAATTTCACAGATTTTTTTCAATGCATAACTCAGCAACTGAATCTCTCTTGGGCTGGTATGTTTTCTTGTGCATTCCAAACTTCCGTAGACTTGAGATGGTGTATACAGAGCACAAAGAATTGAAGATTGGGCTCTGAAATGTTCTTGCTGACCTTGTATTTCAATGCCAGTGAATTAACACTGAACTGTGGAATTAAAAAAAAGCAAAATGAACAGTTAAAATATCAAAGAACCAACACATTTTTTCTGGAAATAGGGTTGCCAGATGGTTTAACGCAAAATACCGAACATCCCCCGCCCCCTTCCCCCCCCAAAAAAAAAACACTGGGTAAAAAATTCTGTTGAGAAAAAAAGGGGGAGACCAAAGTTGTTATGCAAAAAAAAAAAAAAATAATAAAAAAATAAAAAAATAAAAAATAAAAAATAAAAAATAAAATCAGCATGACCCCTTTAAGAAATGCCTTGGAGGCTTTTTGTCCCTAACAGGCTGCCAATGGCCATCTGCCATCTTATCTTCCTGCTCCAGGCCAGACAGCTCCCCTGCAGAACCAGGTAAGCATCTGGTATTTTCGCCTCCTGGCTGGGAAAAAAATCAGAAAATACCGGACCTTTTAGGTGTCCGGAATTTTCTGAATTTTTTTATCAGACAGGAGGCGAAACTACCAGACTGTCCGGGTCAATACCGGACACCTGGCAACCTAGCTGGAAAGTGTCTCAGAACGTAATCTGAATTTACTGTCTGTCCATCTATTGTGTGTTGAGCACACAGGGCTGGTCAAACATCCATTGAAGACTATGAAAAGATTCCCATTTAAGTGAGTGAAAAGATTCCAGTTGACTTCATTGGCTATGTATCAGTCCAAAGCAAACTGCAGAACTCGAATGTAGGTTTGGAGTTATTGGATGAGTGATTAGCCAATAGTTTAATTTTATAGACTGTTGTTTACATACATAAGTGCTTTCCAATGTACTAATAGCTTCCTGAGGAGGAAAAAATAATCTTTTAAAAAAAATCTTGAAGCAATGTATTGAACAAAAGAAACAATCATGAAAAATAACAGCCCCGTGTTTTGGGGACTTTTTTGTATAGAGGGCTGGAGCCTAAAAATTCCTTCAGTTATACTGGGGATTTCCTGCCCTGCAGGGGGAAGTCCATTGTATAACACTGAGTTCCTGTGAATGGGGGACACACCCTTGTTATTGGAGAGCGGGGATTTTTATGGGCCAAGATTATGCACAAAAGGATCACACAGGACAACTTTTCCAAAGTTTTTAGATGAAACTGTGCTGATGCATAATCCATGTTATTGATCAATAAAAATATTACTGAGTTCCAAGAAGAAACAGGAAAAACTCCCGTATACATAAAAAAGGGTTTATTTGAGTTTTACGCAATCCATCTGACTCCCTGAGTTATATAGCAATGCCAACTTTGATTTCTCTGGGTTACTTTCCTAGGACACATTTAAAAGACAAGTGCATGTACCTCAGGAGTTTTACACTGATTAAACTAAATTTTGAAAAACAAAAATGTACTTTAAAATAAGGCAATAGTGCTGTCATTACCTGGCAGAAATATCTGATTCTATTTTTTAAAAAGGAAGAAACCAAACCAATCCTTTTTGGAAGGCAGAAATCGCCTGGGAATAGAGTGTTGTCTGGGGAAATTGATCAGCACAGCTATTCTGAAATAACTACTCTGTAATAGCTATTCTTCCTCATGTGAACATGCTATTTTAGCATAACAGTGATTTTATTCTGAAAGAATTACTCCTTTCACAAAACAGAAGATTTATTATGGAACAAAGTCCCTTTTATTTTAGAACAGGGTGGCCAAACATGTGGGTGTTAGTATAGCAAAGCTATGCCAGTCATCTTCCCCTCTTTAGGCAAGCCCTCAGCCTTTTGTTGTGAAGATTGTGCCTGCAAGGTTTGGGTGATTCAGTCTTTAGTGCTCAACTCTTGTATGATACTTTGTCTCCCCCTGTATTGCTTGTTCTATGAGGAAGAAGGGGGCTTCCAAAAGATAGGTTTTTTTCTGACATTTGGCCCAGTCTAGATAGGCCAAATGTCGGAAAAGCCTCTTTCAACAAAAAAATTGGAAAAAGATACACAAAATACATAGTGCATTTTGCGTACCTTTTTCCGACAAATACTTGTAGTCTAGCAGTATCCTTTGTGTCAGAAAATAGACCTCCCAGCCTGCAGCAACCTCTTCTGTTCTTGCCCAGAAACTATCTTGAGCAGATACTGCTATTTGTGCTAAAACAAGGACTGGTTTCTCATGGGGTGAGCCGACCAAATTCATTTGCACTGTGGTCTGGATCAGGGATACAACTCAAGTCTCCAGAGGTGAACAGCCCTTTCATTGACCTGAAGCATTGCCAAAGCCTTTCCACTTGATACCTTTCTATTGCTAAAAAGTGCCTTTAGAATCCACATGGATAACGGCAGTATTCTTGGACAAGAGAACAAGCCTGCAAAGCCTTCAGTGCTCATAGACTTCACTGATCGCTACATGTAACCTTGTGCATGTCTAAACTGCCTCCCTGTTAGCAAGGTACAAGGCAACTTCTCTATCATGAGTGAGACGTGTATGTTGGCCTGCTAGATTAACAGTAGCACAGTGAATAGCATTGTAGGAGATCCAGTTCCTACTATGACTGACAAAGCCCCTTGTTCCACAAACTCACAGAAGGCTGGCATGCCAACCTTTCAGGCTCCCAGTAATTGGAATAGATGGAAGATGCTCTAATTGCTCTTAAGAAACTGGTGGAGACAATGGGCTAAGGGAGTAAATGGAGCAGTTGTCTTGGAAGTTCATTTCCTGATTTTGCTGCTAACTGAGAGACCTTGGGTCTCTAAGGGTGTGTCTAGACTACAGAGTTTTGTCGACAAAAGTTGACTTTTGTCGACAAAACTATACCTGCATCTACACTACCGCTGAGTTCTGTTGACATAACGTCGACAGAACTCAGCAGTTTTGTCGACGCTGGTAAACCTCATTTTACGAGGCATAACGCATTCAGTCGACAGAGTTCTGTCAACAGAAGGTGTTACTGCATGTAGGGTTGGGTCTAGACTACAGGGTTTTGTCGACAAAGCAGCTTGCTTTGTCGACAGAACTGAATGTAGTCTAGATGCTCTTTGTCGACAGAAGCTTTGTCAACAGTATCTGTCGACAAAACTTCTGTCGACAAAACCCTGTAATCTAGACGTACCCTAAGTCTCTCTATGCCACAGCTTCCCTATCGGAAAAATAATTCTTACCTGTCTTACAAGAGGGCTAAATTCATTCATATTTGTAAAGCCCTTGGAGATCCGCAAAGGGAAGGTTAAAAAGAAACATGAGGTAACTCATTAATGACCCTTTGCAGTGGAGGCTGTTACTCTTCATTGCCAAAGGTGAACATATGACAGGAGAAGGCAGCGGGGAGGGAAACAGAAAATTGTGACTTGTGTGAAGAGTCAGAAGAAAAGGCCTTGGCAGCTATAGGCTTCTGGCCGGCATCCCCACAAGGAACGTGTCCTTCCTTCAGGGCTTAGCCTTCAGACAAATAACTCATTGACAGCAAAACAAAACTATTCCTCTGACTAAAGCCTGCTCACAGGATTCAGAGGTCTTTTCCCCTACATTTCTAGATCTTGCTCCAGGGCCCCAGGCAGGATCTACTCTGCTTCCCTCAACTGTACTTATTCAGCCCTTTTATAGTAATCACTTGCCCCCCCTTCCCCTTCCCAGCTGGGTCTGAGAAGCCCCTCTCCTAGGCACAAATTTTTCCTCTAAAGACAAGCACTGTCTCCAAACAGTATATGCTGGCCTCAAAGGTTCTTAAAGGGGCAGTCCACCTTGTTCCAGAATCATCTTCACCTGGAGATGCAGAGCACTACTTCCTTCACACAAAGCAGACCAGACTGTTTTCTTTGCATATATCAAAGACTGGAGAAACTTAAGGCACCAGCTGAACACTACAAGCCACAAGAACAGTTAAAGGGCCTAATGACATGACAGGGAATTTGCATTCAAGTCCCTGGAGCTCTGTCAGTTTTGGTTCTGTGTTGAAAGGACACCAGTTCTATATTTTGTTTCTAAATTAATTGTCAAGTACTATACATATTGTCACTTTGTTTTGGCAGGTTGTGTACGTCACCGCTACATTCCCATTCGTCATGCTATTTGTGCTGTTAATCCGAGGTGTCACCCTGCCTGGAGCTGCAGAGGGCATCAAATTTTACCTTTATCCTGATGTATCACGGTTAGCAGATCCACAGGTATGAAACCAGGAAGAAGGAGCAGGGAGACTTCCCGTGCTCTGAAACAAGAGAGACAAATGGAGGTGGGTGGGAGTGCACCAAGAGTAGATTTTATTACATGTTCTTTATCAATCCAAATACAGCATGGCATTAAAACTGGGTTGCATTATTTCTATTGTATCGGGTTGAAAGGTCCTTTTAACATGTGCTAATGTATCTTTCCATGTGTGTATTTTTGCATCAAAGGACTCTGTCCAGTTATAGAATCTCAGCTTTCTTGTTGGTATTAGGCTGTGGACCAGGTAAGGGAGATGCATTGTTTTTAGGAGGATAGTCTTTAGTTTTGAAGGGAATCGGAAGAAGGGAGAGAAATATGAGCGTAGTCGATGGCACCCCAAAGAACAATTGTGAGTATTTGTTTCACTCAGCCACCACCACTCAGGAGCAGGACATTGGGGAACGAAGTGAATACAGTGGAAAAATCAAAACCATAGAAAACATGGGAGAAATCTGTTTTCTCATGCAAACGTGGGAGAGTGCCTGGAAAACAACTGCTTAGCACTGGATAGGAGGAGTTGGATCTTTTTTCTCTACAAGCTACACTAGAAAAGGAAAAGACTATTTCTTACTGGTGTAGCAACATGTGAAAGCCCAACCGTGATCACATGGAAGATGCAAAACTCTCTAACCAATAGCAAAAAACAAATGCAAATGATAAGAGTGATCTTTTTAATGTGATGGCAACAGGTATTGTAGGGTGAAAAATGACTTTTTTTGTTTGTTATTTCTTTTCTAATAATTAGCTGTTAAAACATCAAGATGCTATGTAAGTAAGCAGGTAACGTGTGGTTGAAAGAAGCTTAGCCGAATGTGGCAGTCTCTGTGATCTTGCCTCCCTGACATTGGCCAATCAGACATGCATTTGTTCCCTTATCTGGTAGCATGTGATTATTATGAGTTTTTAGGTGTAAGTTTCATGCCCTAAAACATGATGACTGACAACACAGGAAGGGTTCAGCTTCTGTTTAATTCCCAGGCCCCCTGACAGCATAGCTCCCTCCAGGGTTAAGCTATCATGGATTCCCCTTTGAAAAGACTTGTCTTCTTTCCCCAGAAGATCCCTGTGTATTGTCATGTGGATGATGCTGACAATGGTAGGAGAGATATGCTGCAAAGTTGCTGCTTTCCCTCTATTCATACCCTTCTCCTCCTCTCTCTCTCCCCCCTCCCCCCCATGATTCCCATTACATTTCTCTGGAGAGAAGTACATAGCTGTGGATGGTCAGCAATAGAAGGAGGGGTTACTTCAGATATATTAAGCTGGAGTTTCTCACTGTAATGATACTGTATGTTGTATGTTATTGTACTAACACCATCAGGATGATGAGTCAAGGACGGAGGTTAGTAACGGTGTTACTTATGTTAAAGCGATGTATTGTGTTATACTTGTGTCCCCTCTGCACCTGTCGTGTTTGTCTTTGTGTCACATATGGTTGAAAGTTATGATTGGGGCAGCTGCCTGGGGTCATCTGAATAAGCATCAGTCAAGACATTTGTGTTTGCAGTCCAGTGACTCTGTGGGTGGGTTCTAACTGCACTGCAACAGCTGCCTCGATGTTGTCCCTTCTCTTGGGAAAGCATTGATTGTTATGCAGTAAGGAAATGAACAAGGGAATGGCCCACAAACTAGAATTATGGACCATCAGGAATGTTAGAATTGTTGACGAAGCTGTGACATTTTCAACTGGACTCTGATGCTAATCTGGATTCTGATGTTAATCAGGTCATCTCATCTGACAAAGTGGGTTTTGCCCATGAAAGCTCATGATACTCTCTCTATATATTTATTAGACTATAAGGTGCCACAGGACTACTTATTGTTTCTGATGCTGATTTTTTCCCTACCATGTGGTCATTGAAAAATGATATGCTCTCTTTTTTTCTCCTCAATGAGATGCTTTTTTTCTCCCCCTTCATCGCAATATCTGTCTCAGTGGAAGCTATTTTTGTTGTTGCATAACCTAAATGACACACTTGATTGTGATGCATGTGCTATAGGGTTTGCCTACATTAGTAATGCATCCTTCCATCTTTTCTTTTAGGTCTGGATAGATGCCGGGACACAAATCTTCTTCTCATATGCAATCTGCTTAGGAGCAATGACATCCCTGGGAAGCTACAACAAATACAAATACAACTGCTACAGGCAAGTTTTGAACCAAGGGGGTTTAGTGTCTTAGCTAAATGATGTAAATAAGTAGGGACAATGGGTTCAAACCTTTTTTTTTGAATTAACTTGCTCCATGACATATGTGTGACTTAGGGACTGTTTGCTGCTGGGATGCCTGAACAGTGGTACCAGTTTTGTGTCTGGCTTCGCAATTTTTTCCGTCCTGGGCTTCATGGCACAAGAGCAAGGGGTGAACATTGCTGATGTGGCAGAGTCAGGTACGATGGTATTGGTGGCAGTGGTGGTGGGTGCTGCCACCTAGTGTGTGAGCAAAGTACTACGGACTAAATCAGCCAAACTAAAATAAAAAGAAAGGAAAAAGAATTCCCACAAGCATCAGAAAAAAAAGACTAAATGTGCACGTGTTAGTCTGGTTTTCTTTTAGGACAGCAGTAGGTTGCTGATTAACATAGGACTGACTTTACCTTGATTAGAGTAGCAGTTGGAACATTTTTTTCCAAAGCGCGTTAATAAAGTTTAGCTCAGATTAGGTAAAGAGATCACACATGTGTGGAATCTAGACTTGTTAATCCATTTTGGAAAGCTATGATTGCCCACTAGTGAGAGCTGCTGTAGGAATAAAGTCTGGCACTTTCAATGGGACATAAGGGAACTGGATGCCCAGATCTCATTGAAAGGCAAAGGAAGTTGGACACCTAAACCCCATGGGCTTCTTTGGAAAATCTCTTCCACCATGACACCAATTGTTGCAACTATACATTTTAGTCTAGCTCCAAGGTAAAGCTGATACTATTTGTGCCAAGTCCATTTCGGAACTGATTACACCGACATATTTTCCTGGATATGCATATGTAGATTCCCATTACCATTCACCTGTACACGTCTCAGAGAGAGGGTACATGCAGCTTGTGAATATACACTGAACAAGGTAGACTATAATTTTCCCTTGGACATTCTTTATAGGACCTGTGAGCAATAGTGATACTTTTAGGATGTCACAGTGATAGCAAACAGTTATTCCAGGCTAGATTGCCAACCCAAAGTTTTCAAAAATCATAGTCAAGCCCTCTAAAATTGTGAGATTAGCTTAAAAATAATGAGATTCGAAACAATAACACTGTATTTTGGGTGCTTTAGCTTTTCCTTCTGATTTTTGAGCCGTTAAGATTCACTTTTTAACTGTAGGGTCATGTTTTCCTGCTATTTTTGTCACCAAGAAGACTAGAAACTTATATTTAAAAAATAAAAGCTGAGATTCTCTTGTAATTACCTTAAGTCCTGGAGCTAGAGCATTAAGAATCACAGAGACTCATGATGAAATCACAGATGCTGCTGCTTGATTCTCAGTTGGTGTAAATTGGCATAGCTCTATTGAAGTCAATGGAGCAAATGCCACCTTATACCAGCTGAACATCTGGCCCATAAGGATAATTTTGCTCATACTCTGATTGTTTTACACAGGAACAAGCTAAGGGAATAATTCCAGTGAATATACACTCTAACTCGTTTAAGATGAATACTAAGAAATTTTGCATATTTGGGAATTTTTATTCATATTTTTTAAAAATCAAAAAACTTGTTCAAATTTTACTCTAATTGACCGCAAATAAAAAACACAATCCATTGCTAAATGGGCACCTTTTCCCCCTAAGAGCTGATATTTTTCAAGTGGCACTACTGATCAGTTTCACACACTGGAACTTTATTTTCGTGCATATTTTAGTTTGTTGATTTCAGCCCAGGTTGGGGATAGCCATACATGACTTTTCAGTGCATTAGACAGTACGGCTGTGTCTTCATTGGCACCCTTTTCCAGAAAAGAGATGCTAATGAGACCAGTCGGAATTGCAAATGTCACGGGGGATTTAAATATCCCCCGCGGCATTTGCATGAACATGGCTGCCGCTTTTTTCCGGCTCGGGGTTTTGCCGGAGAAAAGCGCCAGTCTAGAAGGGATCTTGCAGAAAATAAGATAAGCCCTTTTCCAGAAGATCCCTTATTCCTACTTTCAAGGGATCTTGCGGAAAAGGGCTTATTTTCCGCAAGATCCCGTCTAGACTGGCGCTTTTCTCCGGCAAAACCCGGAGCCGGAAAAAAGCAGCAGCCATGTTCATGCAAATGCCGCGGGGGATATTTAAATCCCCCGCGGCATTTGCAATTCCGAAGTGTCTCATTAGCATCCCTTTTCCGAAAAAGGGTGCCAATGTAGACACAGCCTAAATGTATGTGGTGGTGTTAGGCTAATTCCTAAGGGAAAGGTACCCAAAGCACAATAAGTGCCATCGAAACTGGTACCAGTTGGCATTCGTGTTGCCATTCTAAGCTGAGCCTGGGCGAGTGCTCCACCCCTCTCTTTCCTAAGAGGTGGTTGTTTCAGTTCATAGTAGAGTTACATTGACAGGTGGTGTGATGGAAACATAGTGCTGGCTGCCTGTACTATACCAGTTCTGGGTCAAACAGGTGACTTCACTTTCCGGTGAGGGCAACCTGAAACTATTTACCAAAGAGAAATTTCAATAGATCTGTATTTTTCCCAGATATACTTCACTGCTCCCTTCACCATCTTTTTTTAAACCATACTTTTGCCAGTATGCAAATCCAGGAGTATTCTTCCATGTAGGAAAAGGAAAGAGGGAGCAATGAACATTTGCAATTTGATTTTTCGGCTTGGCATAGGAAGTTATGTATTGGGCAACCAACTCGTTCCTCCCACTGTATCCTCACACTTGCCTTACTCACACATGGGGTTCCATTGACTTCAGTGGATTATTCTTGTGATTTTAGGCACAATCTAGTTCACTGACAGCAGAACCCCCAACATCACACTGTGGCGTGGTAACACCCTGTGCCAAATTCATTCCTTATGAAACCCAAATGAGCTGAATTCTCCCTTGGTAGGATATGAGTAGTGAAGATATAAAGACAAAGGCAGTTATTGCTACCTTGGGTGAAATGGGCTTATTGATTTCAGTGGAGTTTAGGGATGTGAAAGTGTAACCAGTTAAACTGGCAAGCCTCACCCTTAGTGGGTGGCTTACCAGTTCTAGTTAACCAGTGAGGGCTGGAGCAACTCCTGTCCACAGTGGGCAGCCTGCAGATAGGAGCTGCTTCAGCCAGGAGGAGGAAGTTGCTCCCCTCTGCCCCTTTAATCGGGTAACTGATTAAACATTACATTTGACCAGTTAACCATTTAAAAGAGATGTTACATCCCTAGCACTGGAGTTACACAAGGTTTGAATTTGGTATGCCTCTGCTTCATCCCCCATTAGATTGGCAAACTGCCTGATTTTTTGTCCTTAATTTTCCAATTACATCACATAAAAAAAAGTCTCAAAGTATTGTTGCATTTATTTTTTTTACCCTAAGAAACGCAATGGGGGAACAAAAGAAGCACAGTGAGGCCTGGCTAATCTGTGCTGCATTTGTCTGCGTGCCTGCCTGGATGAAAGATATAGTGCATGTACAGTATGTACCAGCGATATACCAGACTTCCTTTGTTTTAATGCCATTTGCCAAGTGATTCAGATTAATCAGGTCTGACTATCATGTCTCTCAGCTGATGTAGAAAGTTTGGCCTCCATATTTTGTATTGTTTCAATCTGTCTACTGTCCACAGTTCCTTCTGCTGACTGGGTGCAATTCCAGCCATAATATTTCATTTAATCAGCAAGCAACTAACTGTGGTTATTACTGTTCTAATAAGCTTTTAACACCAACCAGAAGCACAGGGCATTTGAACAAGATAATTATTCAGTGGAACAGCGCGCCATATTAAATGCCTTTTTCAATGATTTACATTCAACTGAAAAAGCTGCCAGAAAGGTTGTTATTTTACACAGTCCTTTCTCTTTATAGTTCCGCATTTGCTTTCATAGAAAAATACACACAGAGCATAGATCACTTGTCAGTAGGACTTAACATACACAAATGCTTTCACAATTCAAGAACATACACACATTTTCAGTGAGTTTGAGAGAGAAATAGCAGCAGTTTTACATCTGTCTCATCATTTGCACAGATTGGCTACAAATGTCATCTAATAGCAGTTATAGGTGGAAATTTAATTTTTACTGAGAGAAGATTTCCCATGGCTAGGAGTTGAGGGGAAAGCAGAACCCTGGAAATTTTAATTACTCAGCCAATTTTGTGTGTGCATGCTTTCTGTCACGTAAAGCCACAGACATGTTTCTTTTTAACAATTAATGAAATAAAATTAATTCTTCAGTTACTGGCTAATTTGTATTTATTTATATTTAAATTACTTTTTTTTCTTTTAATTTAAAAAAAGTCATCCTTCCACTGTCGTATTTTCTCTCCCTTACTCCTGTCTCCATCTTTCTTCTTGGGAAGGAAAAGTGGGAATTAGAAGGAGTATCAGTAGACATTCTCTGTGCAAATTAAAGTGATTTTTTGCCTGTGATTTATCAGACTTTATCTTTCCTACTGAAAAACAAGTTTAATTTGAATCCAGTCACCAAACCTGGAAGATGTCAACATGCCAATCCACCTTCTTATGAAAGAAAAAAAGATGTCAACATGCCAAGCCACCTTCTTACATGCAGATTTTAATGTGCACGTAAATCTGTCCATGCAAGAGAATCCCCATTCTGTAAAAATTATAAAATCATTTTTAAACCAGTAGCAAATTTCAGGTGCCTATTGGCCTCTATGCTCCTACTGCCCAATCAGAGATGGCATACTCACTTTACAAAAGTTCTCATGATGTATTACTGTTACTTGAAACCTGTGTGACATTAGGTGAGAACTTCTGTGAAATCCAACATGGAAGTGCAGTGCACTGAGGCTCTGCGTGTGATTAGGCGTGAGTGAGCCCTTTATTAGCTGAGCCACAAAGAAGATCAGGCAAAGTCTATTATGGCTAGCCACTGGGGAGATCCTTTTCATAAGTTTTAGAAGTCTGTGATTTTAGAGCAGAAGGACCAAGGTTTTAGTCCCAGGTCTTTTGGTGTGTACAGCACGTGTAATTGGTCTAATAGTTGTGCATGATGGTGGCAATACACCACTCATTTGTTATGGCATGATTAGGAAGCCTTGTGATATAGGAGACTCTGATTAAATTGGTATGCTAGTAGGATCAGAAAGTGGGAGTTATTTTTTCCCATTGTTTCTTTTATTGTTATTACATAATTTCCAAACAGCAGGGAACATTTTTGGAACTCACAGGGCCAAATCCACAGCTGGTGTAAATAGGGGCAGCTCTATTTAGTTTAGTGATGGTTTACAGCAGGTAAGCAGCATGGCTCTTGGAGCAGAAACCAAAACCTGGAAGGGAGGCTCATGAGATATTTGCATTTTCAGACGGCTAGCTAGGTTGAGTTGGCTGCAGCATTGAAGCAGCATATTTGGAGCAGATTCCCTCTTGTCCCCACCTCTTCCCCCTCCATATAACTAGATCCCAGGTATGCTAGCATCAGGGTTCCTTCATTCTACGGGGGCAGTTGCCTTCATTCCTGTTACACCGCCTGAGTGACTGGTGCAGGAACTGATCCAGTGCTGGCATGTTTGAGACAGATGTTAAAACTGGTGGTTGGCTAGCCGTAGCCTTTGGGGTTGCTTGGGGTTTGTGTTGTAGTCATGCGTGCTTCTTTGTCAGATGAAAGATCCAAACAATTTCACTTCTGGTATTTCCAGCTGGGTTTGGGTTTATCTGAAAGGAACCAGGCATCCCTGCATGGGTTGTAGCTACCACAAGGCATGAACTGAGAGCTTACTATCTCCATTCCCTTCCCCCCTCCCTATTTTCTCTTTTTCCTCCTCTAGGTCCAGGCCTGGCTTTCATTGCCTATCCAAAAGCTGTGACCATGATGCCAGTGCCTACAGTTTGGGCTATCCTTTTCTTTGTTATGCTTCTGTTGATTGGACTGGATAGCCAGGTTAGTAACTATGGGACTGTTTTACATAGAAATCATAGGACTGGAAGGAACCTCCAGTCCCAATAAGACATATGTCTTTTTTATTGCCATGATGCCAGGAATGGCAACCCAATAATAAATGGGTGAATTATTAGTTAATAATACTAATTATTATTATTAATTAATAATGCTTAAATGAAGTTGTCAATGCTACAAAACCCATTCATCTGAATGAAGAAATTGCTTTAGTCCGTACATAGGCAGGGTCAGCATGACTTTGTACATTGAGGTTGTGCTGTCAGAACCCAGAGGAGTCCAAGGGGTGGAGCAGTGGTCACCAACCGGTCGATCATGGGGAGTCTCCCGGTCCATCACAATTGGCAGGCTCTTTGCTTGTCTTGGCCCCAGGCTGCTAGCCCATTCCTGGGAGTGGCCAGAGAAGCCTCACATCCCCATGTGTATGAAGGGGAAGGGGAACACAAGTCTTAATGCGCTGCTCCTGCCTGCTAGCACTGTCTCATCGCAGTTCCCATTGGCCAGGGCCGTGGAAATGTGGGCTTGTCTCCACTAGACCAAGGATCGACGCTGTAGTGATCAAGCCACTGGTTGTCGATTTATCACCTGTGTTTAGACATGATAAATCGATCTCCAAGTGCTCGCCCGTTGGTGCTGGTACTCCGCCAGGAGAAGAAGACTAGCCAGCATCGATAGGAGAGCAGCTCCCACTGACCCTGCTGCACGCAAAATACTGTGCTAAGTATGGTGATTTCAGCTATGCTATTTGTGTAGCTGAAGTCACATAGATTTGCTCGACAGCAGGGGTTGGTGTAGACAAGGCCTGAGGGAGTGAATTGCAGAATGCACCACAATGTGGCATTGTAACTGGACACTGGGGGTATGACCTACCAGGTATCTAGCTTGTCCTAGTGTAGTTTTGTTCAGAGAGGAGGTTTTTCACATAAATATCACTAAAGACTTGATTAATCATTTCTAGAAAGTCACAAAGAAACACAGGCAACCAAGGTTTACACAGTAACTATAAATTGAGGTTTCCCAAGGTTTCAGAACTATTTATACTACAATGGTAAAGTAACACTACAGTTCTAAAAATTCACTAGACAAAGGTAACATGTTTATTGAACTCAAATCTTCTCTTATATGAGGAGAGTTTCATAAGTGGATTTTCCCAGCGGTTACTTGCTTAATCTCTTAAATTTGTAAAGTTCTGTGGCATTTGTTCTAAATCGCTCTTTATTGCTTAATCATTCAACTCTGCTAAGTGACTTTCAGTCACTTTCACACTGAATGTTACAATGCCCAGTGCTGTGGCTCTGCAACAAAGTGCTTATAAAAATTTTAAGCTGGCTAGTAATTTTAAATAGCTCCTCACTGTGTGGCATAATTCAAACTAATTGGAGCGCTTAATTGCCTCTCCTGCGCCCCCATTTTGGAGTGTAGTCAAGCAGGGTTTGAAATGCCAGAGCATCTTAAGATCAAATCCAACCAATGGGAAATGTTACATTTTAAAAGAAAAGCTGTTTTACATAAGGCATTAAAATAGGAATTCACCCAAGCATTCAGTATCAACCGCTGAAAGCTACGTGGTCTAGTAATAGCTACTATCTCTTATCAGGGAAGGTTACAGAGTAAAATGTGTCTAAAGGAAGTGTCTGGATATAGTAAGTATATTAATCAAAAGGAGATGATGATTTATATATGCTAGAATATTGCTAATTTATGAACTAGCTGTGATATATCACTGACTATGGAATGAACCATTTATCTTTTAGGGTGATGGATAACTTAATGAGGCTAAACCATGTTTAGTTACAACAATCAGTTCAATGAAGTCACTATTGTTAGATCTGATCTAAAGCTCGTGGAAGTCAGTGGAAGTGACTTCAGTGGGCTTTGGATTGTGCCAGAGAAGAGAGCAGGTTTTGCTTTGCATGAACAAAGATTTCTTTGTTTTTATTAGATCAGTTTGTGCACCATTAAATGGCCCTTTTTCCTATACATGAAGTTATTCTGGTTTAGACTTATTTAGTCTGGTTCAATTTAATTTGGCCAACTCTAATTATATTTGTCTTACATTCATTTTTCAATAGCAAACAATTTTTTATGTACAAATATTTTTTAAAAAAATTTCCAAGATACCAAAACAGTCAATGTAAGATTTTGGTTGATCTGCTTGGGATTTCATCTTACATTCCAAGTGAGAAAGTTTTACCTAATCCTTGTAAAGTAATTGTATCATTTCAGTTATTAGAGAAGTAGCTAAGGGTCTCAGTCACAAATCAGATGGCCCTATTAGGCTTGGTGCTGTACAAATGTAATGCTGACAGGCAGAATCAAGCCTGGGACCTCTAGCATTCAGTACATGAGCCTCTACCATATGAGCTAAAAGCTAGCTGGCTTTTAGTGAAGGCTGTGGAGCAGATTCATTATTCTCTCTGTAAGTGGTCTCAGTGCCACTAGATGGGACAGTACATTACATCCCGTAGATGGGACAGTACATTACATCCCATAGGTGTATAGGTTACACAAACATATGTGAATTGTAGGTCTGGAAGGAACTTCAAGAAGTCTTCTTTTACTCCAGCACCTATCACTCAAAGCAGGCCTAAGTATACAGTACATCCCCCTGCCAATCTAAGATACATCACCTCAACTACATAAACAGCAGAGCTGAAGGCTACGTACTTAGGCCTGTTTACTGCTGTGTCTTCCATGCAGTAATATCAGCTGCTGCCTACTCTTCTTGTTGTGTTGGAGTTCCCAAGTTAACGGAGTGTGCTAAGAGGTCGATTTATTGTATCTAAGCAGATGCGATAAATCAACCCCAGTGGATTGATCACTGCAACATTGATCCACTGTGCAGCGGAGACAAGCCCTAAGTATTCTCTTTATATAGCAGCCAAAGTCAGCCCCGATGCCATCAGAACAGCTGACTGATGGCCAGCCCTGCGGCTGCCGAACAGCTGATCAGGAGTCAGCCCTGGAGCTGTCGAACAGCTCACCAGTGGCCACTGCTGGAACAGCAGTCCCCAACTTGCCAAAGCAGCGGCCAGGGTTAGGTCAGCCCTCTGGATCTGGAACAGCAGCGGTCAGCTCCTAGCATAGGAGCAATGGCAGAGCTGAAGCAGTTGCAACCCTAGCAGTGCTCTGTTTGTCCACTTCACCCTCAGAGTATTTTTAGCAGGGCAGATCACGGGCTTCTTTTGTTTGTTGACCCTGGTCTGTCCCTGATTTTATTAAAAAACCCATGACAGAATTTTAACCTTTCTCATGTGCTTTTATTGAATAATTTGTCTACTTCCAGTATGAAAAGTATCTGCATGAATTTTTGCAGGAATGATGCAGGGCAGTATTTCATTGTATGATTTTTTACCAGTATAGCTGAGAATAGAATTTGGCCCTAATTATATACTTTAACTATGCAATGTATATACATTTCACTAACATGTCAAGTAAAGACAGAGATTGAGAGATGCTGCTGTAGTTCAGAATGCTTAATTTTTCTCTACCTTTTTTCTAACATGCACTTTTTGTTCATCTGAAACATCTACTACATAAAAATAGTGTGAATATTTCCCTCTTATCACGTTCATTTCCTTTAACCTTGTAGCTTTTGTTTATAAAGAAAAACCAACATTAGTCTCTTATAAGTATGCTAGGAAACTGACATCAATTCTGAAAGCTTGTTCCAAACTTAAAAAACAACAATCCCAAACCCACCACATGCCATGCACATTAACCTTGAACTATAAGGAAAAGGATTGTTATGTGATTATTCAAAGTATTGTATAGTTTCATGGAGTGCAAATACAGGGATTCTAGGACAGTGTTTAATTAAGACAGAGACAAATGAAATGTATACTATGTATATTTCAGTTTGTTTTTTTTCCTCCTTTAGTTTGTTGAAGTTGAAGGACAGATCACGTCATTAGTTGATCTGTACCCATCCTTCCTAAGGAAGGGTTACCGACGGGAAATCTTCATTGCTATAGTGTGTTTCATTAGCTATCTTCTGGGACTAACTATGGTGACCGAAGTAAGTAACATTGGTGATGGAAAGCTTTATTTAACTCATTAATTTATTTATTTAAAATCAGTATGTATAAACTGTGATATTTTGTGAATCAGATGAAACAAAGCAAGCCACTTGGAAGAATATCACTGCTTAGTCACTAAATAGCCCTTTTAATCCCTAGGTCTCAAAGGGTGTGTCTACACAGCAGCACTAGCTCGAAATAAGCTACACAATTTGAGCTACACAAAATGCTAGCTTATTTTGAATTTATTTCGAGATAGTCTATTTTGAAATTTGATGCTGTTTACACAATTTGGCGCAATTCCAACAAGTCCCTTAATCTTCATGGAATGAGATTTACTGGGATGTTGGACTAGCAAGACCATTATTTCGATTGCATTTTGAAATAACGGGTATGCTATTAAGATGTGGAAAATGCTACTTCGGGACACCGGACGTATATCTAGAATAGATCTATGCAAAGTGCTTTGAAAAGGAGATAGATATCTTTATGCCCATTCCACAGATTGAGAAACAGAGGGAAAAAATCCCAAAGCATATGGAAGTTCCAGAATCATCTACTCAGCACATGACATAACTATTATGAACATAAAAAATAAAAAGATGGAAAATCAGAACTGTCATGTTCTGTATAGTCTATTTTATACTGCTTCCTAATCAGAAAGTTGTAAAAGAACAGCTAAGGACTTGGGAATGTCAAAACAAAAGCTTAAAAATGAATCATGCCATTCATAATACATCAAAAATGACAGAAAGAGATTTAAACCACAGATTACTTTCAAGAGCTGTGAATCTTTTTTCTTCTGAAATTTGTTTATTATGCTGCATACTTCTCTTCAATGGTGTAGTAATTTGTCTGCACAATTATATTTTCCCTACCTAAATTCCCTCTACAATTAATTGAATATGGTATAGTTCTTCACTTCTTCATCTAACCTGTTGACTAGTGCTGTTCTCCCAAGTTGAACTGCATCTGACTTTCACCACAGGGTAACTGCACATCAGTAATGGGATTTGAATATATAAATCCTATATCTGCAAAGCACGTGAACATTACAGTGTGTGTCCAAGTGAAAATTTGAGTCAAGTTTTCAGTACTCTGAAATCTTTTAAAATTAAATATTCTTTATTAGTGTAAGATATAACTATTTTTACTGGGGGGGGAGGGCAGATTCTAATACCATTTCTCAACTTCCTCCACAAGGAGTCACAATCATTTCATTTGCGGTCTAAGGTACCATACAACATGAATAAATATGTTAGAAATTGGGAGCAGTCATTAAAAAGGTGGCAGAAATCTTTAATGATTACTGTAAAGCAGGTATTAAATGCAAATCTAGCATGGTGAGTTGGGATAAACAGTTTCCATTGAATACATTCAGTGAACCAGATTATGATTTTGAATCAGATGAAGTTACTTGGGATGTAGATTGGTATAAACAAGCCTGCAATCGATTTCAGAAAGTGCACTATTTTGACATTTCTCTGGGCCCAGGTCTACACTAGGACTTTATTTTGAAATAACCCACCAAGTTTGAATTTATAAGTGATGTGCCCCCACTGTCAAGCCCCTTATTTCAAAGTAATTGGCCGCAGAATTCAAAATCTGTACTCCTGCTTTTCATTAGGAGAAAAGCTAATTATGAAATCGTTATTTTGAAATAATGGAAGTTTGGACGCTCTAGTGCCGCTATTTCAAAATAATTACTCATCAGAGTAATTTGAGCAAATCCCCTCCCCCTCCCCCGTGCTTCCTGGGGTTCTAAATCCAAGGTAGCCTGTCCACATATTTGGCACCTGCCTCAGACTAATTTAGAGGTTACCCCATAGTGTGGACATGCTAGTTTGAATGTGTTAAATCGGGAGTTTTTAAGCCAAATTTAATCACTTCAAAATACTTTCCTAGTGTAGACATGTCCTTAGAAGGAACACAAGACCTCTTTTGAAGATCAGACTTGAAAAAAAAACCTCTGTAGGTTTGAAGTAACTGATGTTTTGAATACCCTGACAATTTGTCCAGTAATGTTTATGTGAAATTAACATAAGGTGTGAAGAAAATCACATCCATATTGAAATATAATTCAGCATATTTAAAGCAATATGTGGCAATGAGACTGGACACAGTTATGTAATTTTTAAAAGTAATAGAGCGGGCATGCTGAGAAAATATCATTCCATTAGACTCTTTAATGGAATACCTCCTAGTGTGCTGACTTCAGTCTCATTAGAGGAGTTTATGTTGAAGGTTAATTAGTTCTTTCCAACGTATGTTTCTATAAATGCCAATACAAAAATATCGTTAAGAAGGAAAGACTTAGGTGTCTCAGTAGATTATATTAAGTGGCTTAATTTTGATCAATAATCTTCTGCTTTAAAATGCTTTCAGTGATAAACAAGCATCTTTTCTAGGGAGCTTAATGCAAAGAACTTACATTTAATATTCGATTGATATTTGTACTTGCTCAAAAGCAATAAGATATTCTGGTAGAATTTTACTTTTTTTTGTTTTTATAAACAGAATAAAATTTGGTACAACATGGTTTTCTGTTCATACAGATAACTTATTTTGAATTGAGTCTCAAGCATTCATAGTTTTAGTGACTGATCTAATCTCTTTTGCATCTCTTTTTTTACAGGGTGGCATGTATGTGTTTCAACTCTTTGACTACTATGCAGCTAGTGGTGTATGCCTTTTGTGGGTTGCATTCTTTGAATGTGTTGCTGTAGCCTGGGTTTATGGTAAGTAAGGAATTTTAGCTTTAATATGAATCTTATCATGAGTCAATAATGATTTTTATCTATTTGCTGGTCAAAGCTTGCGAGACTCCATTTTGCTGACAGAACCATCTATTTCTGAACATTCTGTGGATGCACTAATATTATGCCATTAATGTCATTTTGCACTTCATTCTGAGGGCCACATTTTATGCTGGGCTTAAGCCAGCCTCCAATTTTTTCACACAGAAATGAATGGTTTTTGCATGCCTCTTGGTAGTTAGATGCACTTGCATGTGTACATTTAAGCATCCAGCACTGAAATTTCAGCTGATAGTAAAAAGCTCTGAAAGACCTACTGTCTCAATGATCTGTCTTCCAAAACTGTGATCTCTACATGGGTCAAGCCAGCCAAATGGAAAACTGATAAAAGAAAGCCTACACAAAATATATTGTGTTTGGTTATTGTTAGATTATGCTAATTTCCTAAGTCTGACAATAACCTATGTTGCTGTTTTGACTAGTTAGGACTGGTCATTTCCATAGTTCTTCATGAACTATTAATATTATACTATTAATTATAAATATTATTATTATTCCTTCATTATTGAATACAGTCAAATGTAGTTTGAAATGGGCCATAATGAGTCCTATTTTAGGCAAAACTGCTGCCAACTTCAGTGGTAGTTCCGGTATTAGCATCTGGCTGTATTAACACAATATTTTAACACAACAGTGTCATAAGAGAGCCTTTCCTCAACCTTGAAGTACAACCATGCAAGGTGTTTTTGAAAATCTTCCCCAGCTTTATAGTCCTGTGCATCACCCTTCTTGAACAATGTTGTACACAGCCCTTTAATGTATCATTTCCTCTAGTGTGGAAATTAGTATCCAAGAAAATAAGAACAGTGTATCTGATGTGCTTAGCTACAGGCCCTCCTTTCTAGAAACAAAACAACTTACATAAACTCAAAAAAGTCACTGTTTTCCTCCCTTCTCCTTCTGAGCCCCAAATTAGTGCAATACCACTTGGTTAGGGATGTCCTACTCTCTATGGCTTTCTGATAATGTTCTTTTCTTCATGAAATAACCAACTGACTGTGTATTTCAGGCGCTGATAATATTTACGATGCCATTGAAGATATGATTGGATACAGACCTGGTCCCTGGATGAAATGGAGCTGGCTTGTAATCACACCACTTCTGTGTGTGGTAAGTACTGAAACACACTAGCTCTTCCCTTGTACATGTTTCTACTTCCAACCTTTGTCCTGATTTTTTTCTTGTGAGGGAGACCTTCCCAAAGGGCCATTGTGTTCAGGTACCAAACTGAAAAGGGTACACACATGTTGTAATTGCTCCATCTTCTCATCCAGTATTATACATATGACACAGAAAGCTACATTGCAAAGTCAAGCATTCAGAAGTTAGGAAATCCCAGAATGAAGTTTGCCTGGGCAAAACTGCCCTGTCCATTTGGTCCTCCTCCATAGCTCCTTGTCCAGTCTCAGTGTTCTCACTAAGCCAACTAGCTTCCAGTGCTACTCCACCCTGTTTTCCTTCTTGATTTTCAGTACCAGCCTTCCCACCCAACCGTGCCCAGCCTTCCCTCTCCTTTACTGGTCCCCTGTCCTATGCTCCTGGCTCAGTCAATCCTATTCTCCCCACAGCTCCACAGTCTCAGTCTCCTAGTTACAGTCTCTCTCCCCACTTCCAGTCTCACTAGTGTTTCTATCTCAATCTGCTCCCCACCCAGCTCTGTTTCCTTGGTATAAGGAATAGACAGCTTCATCATTCACATTGCCTGAGACCCAATGGAAGGGAGGGTGGTGGTGACTGAGAAATAGGCTCCCTATTCTAATTTCCAGTGCCTGACCCTGTGCTCAGTTTCTCAGTGTGGATGGGACATGCACACACTGGTCAGCAGTAAGACTGGGGGAGGCTTAAGCAAGCTTCATTGAAGATGGAATTGTTGGAGATTTTAGCTGTTGAGCTCTAGCAAACCTCTACTGCACATGAATGAGCTATGATTTTTCAAAGACTTGTAGCTTGTAGCTTGACCAGATTCATCTCCAGTCATCTCTCACCGCAGCAATTTGGTGCCAGTGAAAGCACCTGTCCAAGGCCACTGCAGCTGCAAAGGGCACAGCTGGGGGAGGGGATGCACATCCCTCAGGTGGAGGACAGACAGACACACAAACAAACTGTTTGTAAGTCCATTGGGTCAGCAAGAGGCAGGGATGGAGAAAAGGACAGCTATCTAATATATATTTCAGACAGACAGGCATACATTTCTAAAATATATAGTAGGAAGACTAAAGAGACTGAACAGCCAGTCTCAGCCAAATGTATTGTCTAACGTCAAAACAGTAGAACACAGAAATAAAAGAGTTAATACTCTATTGAGCCTTCTGGAAGCTTGTTTCTTGCAGCTTGCAATACAAAAAAAGGGTGAGGAGATCAAAGGACCTCTCCCCTAATTACTTGTAGTTGTATCATAGCTTTTTACAAGCTACAATAGGTCACTCAAAACAAAAATTTACCAATCATCTTCACTCCTTGTTTTTTGGGGTACCATTGTGTACTACTGTTTTAAATACTACATTCCAAACTAGTTGGCCATGAAAGTATCTCCCAAGCTTGTACCAAGGTAGAACTTTCATGTTTCTTGACTTTGATAGGTTTTGTAATTTGACTTTGACTTCAGCTTTGCTGGATATTGTGGAAGCTATAGCTTGCCATGAGTGAACAGCACTGTGGGAAACACATAATATAATTTGGTTAAAATAACTGCATATGCCCGATATAATATATGTCAGGTGTCATGCATACCACATATATTGGCTAACAGTATGCTAATTGCTCAAGGTGAACACCGATGAAGAGAGCTCAGGAGAGAGGAGCTACCGTTAAGACTAGTGTAGTAATATTCTGACCAGGATGTTGGAACAACTAAACAAAAAGCTTGTTCCCTGAGAAACCCATCATTGGGTTTACTGAATGAGGGCATAGGTCACTGGAGGTTAGCCAGTGCTGTATAGATGCCTCGGCAATGTAATCTCACTGCGTGTATAGTGATCTACCTCAAGATTAATTGTGTGTTTCATTTAAAGAGCATCCAAGAACCTGGGACATCATACAAACTGTAGCCCAAAACCTACCTGGTTTGGTTGCAGAAATAAGTAGTTGCCCTCATTTTACAAGGGCCAATAGCGCTATATCCTTCCCTTGCAAAGTAAGCAGTGCTGAAATAAAGCAACTTTATGTTGGAGGACAAGTTGGTCCATGTTAGGAAATGAGCTAAAGAACTGCACAGAGAACTCTGTTTGCAATGCCTTGCAAGTGTTATTGTTTCTACAAAATTCAGGAACTGTGTTACATGTTTGAGTGCTATCTACCAGGGCCACACCTATTAACTAGCAATTTACATATATACACATATAAGAGCTCTCTTTTAACAATTTAACTGTAGAATGTCTTCCCTATGGTTTAAAATGCTTAGCAAAGTTGGCCTGTGTGGTATTGTACTGCCTTCCTTTTCTAGGTCCCAATGTAAACTGCAGTGGATCCATGATGCTACTGCCTATTTTATAACCCTTCCTCTTGTTTTGTTTTCTCTTCCTCACAGGGGTGCTTTATCTTTTCTCTGGTCAAGTATACGCCGCTCACCTATAACAAAGTCTACACATATCCTGATTGGGCAATTGGTCTGGGATGGGTTCTCGCTCTTTCTTCCATGGTCTGCATCCCAATGGTGATGGTCATCCGCATTGTACAGTCAGATGGCTCACTTATTGAGGTAAGAATGACCACGCGAATGGTGGGTGCATGGTTACTTTTGTGAGTGTGTGGGTTTATAACAGAGAGAGAGAAAAGTTCAACATTTAAGGATAAATGGTGGCTTGCATGGGCGGCACCTTGGAGAAATACAATATGCCACACTTGTGTCTTTAATACAGGAGGGAGAACACTGGCCTCAGACTACTGGCCTCCTCCTTCTCCATCTTGATAAAGATGGAGCATGGCATGCTGTGACAAAGGCATTGTGAAATTGCCTTCTGTACAAAGAAGAGGCCAACTACAACCTGATCCACTTTGTGCAAAATAATCTCAACCCTTGGGAAGCTGCCATTGTAGATCCTGGTTGGGCAAAGTTGAACACCTCCGTTTTAACAAATATAAATGAGCCCTTTTCAGATCACCAGTTGTTTCAGCAATTATCAATCCTATCTAACTAGATTAAAACCTAAACCTGCTGGCCTCCAAAAACCATCAGCTGACTTTACTTGCCTTCCATATCTGTGTTGTTTTTGTAAGCAAGGAAAGTGCCACAGAAATGAACAAAATGTTCCCTCTGAGCAGAGTTGCTTTCTTAATCTATTTTGACACAGAAACTGAAATATACCTACATGCCCTAGATCTCAGTTCACAAGTCAGAGGAGGATCAACACACAGACCAATAGGTAAAATAGGAGAGAAAAGATTAGAAATAGAAAAGTTAAGAGATGGCCAGCCCTAAATGCTGCACCCAAGAACCCATGGAATTTTGAAGATATTTATTACCACATGTAAATGAGCTCATCTCTACTCCAGAACACAACTACCAAACTTCAGGAAAACTCTTTTCCGTACCTTTTGGCTTCTTTCTCTCCCTTTCTCTAAAATGAACCAAATGAAACACTGGAGCCAAATGCTCCCAAACTTTGGGGAAACTTGGATTCAGTTCTAAACTTTACAGCTTCGTCCTACCTCTAGCACAGGAGTGGGCAGTAACTTTTGATGGGGGACTATGCCAAGAATTTGGTAAGTGGTCAAGAGCCACATTCTTCTATGATATTAATGGAGGAGATGCAGGCTTTTGGTTGGAATTTGGGTGAAGAAGGGAGCTTGAGGTAGGGGATTGAGGTGCAGGCGGGGGACTGGGTCTGGGAGAGGGTTGTGACCTGGAGGTAGGGAATTGGGGAGCAGGGCATGGGAAGAGGTATGGGTACAGAAGGGGAGGGCAGAAGGGTTGGGTTACTTGGGGTAGGGATGCAGAAGGGGGTGAAGAGGATTTGGGTGATGTGGCAAAGGAGGCAGGAGAGATAGCAGCAAGTTAGAGGAAGGGAGGTGCTGAGGTGCCAGAGGCAAGCTCTGGCCAAGAGGTGCTTACTTAGGTGGTTCCCAGCCGTCAGTCCAGCAGGTCCCTCTGGCAGACTTCTGGACTGCCCCACAACCACATGCCGCTCAGAACAACTGGCTGCAGGAGGCCTGTAACTCTCTGAGCACCACTGTAAGCATGGGCAAGGTTTAATGCAATATCTGCCCTGCAAGCAAGCAAGCAATTCCCATTGTCCAGATTCCCCCTTTGTAGCGCTGCTCAGAGGCACAAGGCTCCCTGCAGCCAGCTGCTCTGAGAGGCATGTGGGGAGGGGCAGGCAGGGAGGCCATATTTTGCCCAGCCGTGCTCTGGCAGATACGCTCTTAATGTACCTCAAAAGACAAACGTCAAACACATTTTTCTATTTGCCCTTCACAGTGTTTCTTAAATTCACTTCAGACTGCTTTTTTCAAGACAGAAAGAAAGTAGCTTTTCCAAGAACTCAGTAATACACTTGAATTTTTGTTTTCTCTGTTTTAAAGGTCTTTTTAGCACTGGCTAGGACATTTTGTTGGGCTCTTATTTTCCTGCCTGCATGCTCACCATCTATTCAGAAAGAGGTCTAGAAGTGGCGAAAGCTGCCTTCTAAGATCGTCTTAGGGAAGGGAGGAAGTAACTACTTGTCAAATGCCATCTAGTTCCCGTCTTTGTGAACTGAGAATTAGAAGAAAGCTTGCAGCCTGCCAATTGAACTACCCTGTTTAAAGGCAGGATTGTCTACAATACAATGAGGAGAGAACACATAAATGGAAGGCGATACTACAAAACTGAAATTTAGCTTGTGTTTAGTCAGTCTGACTTCCCAGCCAACAAGGCCCTGGCGTTGCTTCTTAAATAAACTATTAGCCTTCTGGGTCATGTAGGCCTCTCAGCTGCATGGTAATAGTACAGTTTCTATTCTTCTTCTAGTATCCCTGAATATTTGATGGTCAAGTTTAGCCTCAAATATCTCTCTCTAACGATGGTAATTCCACAACCTCTCGAATTACTAGGACTGATCTCTGATCTCCAGCTCTTAAAGATATTGGGTTTTAGTGTGTAATTGAAGCCAAGGGTTCAAAAATAGACTGGACTTTTTACAAGGATAATAAGAGGATCCATAGTTACATTAGACAGAATAAAAATAGCTTTAGGGCAATATATATTCTTATACCTCCGATAATGCAACAACTGCAACCTGAAGGGGATATGGAAGAAAGACCCTTGTTGGGTAAGTTTGCTAGCGTTGGGTTAGCCATTCTTGGAATCAGAATACTGGATTAAGTGGACTATTGAGCTGAGCTAGTATGCTATTTCCTAGCTGGCTAGTCTATAGTGAGCCCATACTATTGGTAGCATGGTTGGAACCGCTCAGGGCAGTAAGCACAGTACTTGCAGATAAGCAGCTGCAAGACTGATCCCTTCATAAGACATTCAAGATCATTTGGAGAGAACGGTATTTTAATAACACACTTTTCTAGACTTTCAGGATCTATGTGGTCATTTGTCTAACTCTTGGCTGTTGCGCTCTCTCCTTTCAGAGGATAAAAGCAGTGGCTGCCCCTAGAGAGGTGAATCGGTGGGCCAAAGAAACAGAAAGCACCTCCTCGTTCTGCCCCAACGGAACTCCCAACGGTGGATTGATTAAGCCAACTCATGTCATTGTGGAGACTATGATGTGAGCTCTCTCTGTGAGAGGATAATCCTGCTTTAATTGCCGTTTACTAACCATAGATTCTCATAGGACTGGGTTTACAGAGTTTTCTATTTGCACTAGGATTTATTTTTATTTCTCACAGAGAAAGTTATTTTGTGGTGTTTCTTTTTGTTTTTGTTTTTTACATATTTTGTAAGGTAATCACAGCAGAAGCCTCTTGCAGGAGGCGGCAGATATTTCATATTTAGACTAGACCTATTATAGGAATATACTACCACTGGGATTAAAAAGATGTATAATAGCTCTCAGAATATTATATATCTTATCACTTGAATTGATTTTCTTGCCAGCAATATAGTCAAATCTCAGAAAGCAATGTTTTAGGTGCTGGTGTGCTTGGGAACAGGGTAAACCCTAGAACTCATGAGTGAGCTCTATGAAGAGAAATTGCAACAAGATGGATGTAGCTTCAAGGAATTAGTTTGCAAAGGTGTAGTGCTTTCTTCCTCTGGTTCAGCCAGTGTGACTGACAGATTTCTGTGTCATCCTGTTACCTTTGCTTCCTGAGCACAGAGTAATAAACTCTGACACAGCAGAAGACAAAATACCTATTGGCTGCAGAAGACATTTGCCCGAGGAAGGTGTATTGTGTTCAAGTTAGTTTTCCTGCATGCCATAGGTTAGTGGAGGTGTTACTGGTTTAAACTTGCACTTTGTAAGAATAGAACAGTATGAGCAGCATGTGTGAGTGCTAAGACTTTCATTATGGAAAGGCAGCATTTATGTTTAATGGAATATATTAAACTCTTGAGCTTTGGTATAAAAATAAAAATATCATGAGGCCATTGATAGCACCTAGCTTAATAGCCAACAGCCAATATTCATAACAATAGGAAAAAAGTAGCCCATGTATATACCAGGCATTTCCAGCAAGCACACATTTAATAACAGTAATTAGAGGAAGCGGATAATGATGCTTACTGCAGCCATATGCGCTTTTCAACCAAATACCTCAAACTGGTATCCCTATTAATTTATTTATTTTTACTATTCTGGTTGCCACTGGGGAAGCAGACACAGGGAAGGGAAGCAACTTGTCCTAGGTTACAGCAACTCAGTGGCAGAGCTAGGACTAGAACTCTGATTTCCTGACTGTCTTGCCCTAGGACCATGCTACCGCCATTTTGATTTTTTGGTTAATCCATTTATGGGGGACAAAAGGGAGAATTCAACCTACTGTAAACTAGGGTCTTATGTAAATGAAGAGAAGAAAGTACATAGCTTATTTGGTTTAAAAACAGTACATGGCATTCCAATTTAGAGAAAGAAAGAAAGCAAGCACTCAATGCAGTACAAAGCTCCAAAACATTTTTTAAA